CGTTGGGCTCTGTGCTGACAGCTCGGAGCCTGGAGCCTGCTTCAGATTCTGTGTCTCCCTCTCTCTCCGCCCCTCCCCTGCTCGTGCTCTGTCTCTCTTTCTGAAGAATAAATAAACATTAAAAAAAAAATGCTTAACCTCTCTGGGCTTCCATTCCCTCCCCTTTAAAAGGGATAATGCTAGTACCCATTTCATTTGCTGTTTCTAATGACTAAATGAGTCAATATGTAGAAAAGCTCATGACACACACTGATGTGTTCAATATTCTTATTATTGTATGTATTGAAATGAGCTTTTTCAAGGAAGCATTTTCAGAATTCTTTAGGGAATTGCCTTCAGAGCCTGTGATACACCTTTCGGCTTTTTTCAAAAGGGACAAACCTGTGCCCTTTGTGGGTTTGTATATTTAAGAACTTAACATGATATCCAGAGCCAACTCTGACAAAAGTGGATGATGAAATTGGGTAAAACTGAAATGGGTCAAAAGCAAAGCATATCTAAGAAGTAATAAACATAAATGCATCATGTAAATAGGCTTTGAAAGCAATTCTAAAAGGGATTCCAAAAATCATTTTTGGCATCAACAGAATCATTTTACAGTGTTTAGTATGTGGAAAAAAAAACTCATTTCATAATATTATGTGTAAATACCAGGTTAAGTAAAATAGTTTGATCCCAACTTTGTAAAAAGAAAAAAAATAAGGCATAGGAAAAAAAAAAAAGGAACATTAACAATGGCTTCTTCTCTGGGGTGGAATTATGGCTGATTTTTCTTCTTCATACTTGTAGTTTCTAGTTTTTCTACAATAAACCAACTCTTAAATTGGAAATTAAAACTCACATCACTGGTAAAGTGCCATGGCCAGGGAACATGAGGGCAGCTCTCCAGCTGGATTTAATACTTTGCCAAGTTGCACACTTGGCGTTAGAAAGACTTATGACATTATGGGGCGCCTGGGTGGCTCAGTCAGTTAAGCACCCAACTTTGGCTCAGGGCATGATCTCAGAGTTGGTGAATTTGAGTCCCTCATCTGACTCTGTGCTCACAGCTCAGAGTCTGGAGTCTCCCTCACTCTCTGCCCCTCCCCCGCTCATTCTCATTCTCTTTCTCCCTCTCTCTCTCTCTCTCTCTCTCTCTCAAAAATAAGCATTAAAAAAAAAAAAAAGACTTATGACATTATAGATAGCACATAATTACACACGTATTAGCCCCAACTTTCTCCTTGAGGATAGAGACTGTATCTAACCCATAATTCTTTTATGTCCCTAATACCACTTTAGGACAGTGCTAGTACACAGTAGGTGCTTCATAAATACTTGATGACTTCACTAGGTCCAGGGCTAATTTGATATTCCTGGGGGAGGGAGCAGGAACAAAAAAGGCGTCTAAACCCCACACCGACTTTATGATTCCAGACATGAGCACCCCAGCGATGAATGACATTGACTCATATTCTTCGGGAGGGAAAGTTAATGGTCCAGGGGTTACAGGGATTGGAACAGAGTGATCAGTTAAGTCAGCACAGGGAACAAAACCATAGCTCCACCGGCCTGCCCCACTCCCAGTGGTAGAGGAGAGAGGATGCCCATGCCCAGCCCACCCCCCGCCACCCTCCCTGCCCTGCCTGGCCCCGAGCACTCTTACGTACTGGAGTTTCGGTGGGAGCTGGCCAGGCTGTGTCCGGCCATCTCAGGAGGGGGCTGGTGGCCGCGGTGCAGGAACTGCTGGGAGCTGAGCATGTGGCTGGGGTGGGCGACCCGGTTCATGCTGTGCAGGACATTGACCTGGGGGAGGGAGAGCTCAGTGGGCACCCGCCTCTCCTATTCCTATCCACTAGAGTCTTGTCCCACCTCACTAGAGGCCATCTGCTAACCATGCCCCACAGCTCCTCCCCCTCTGAGCACACAGGTTCTGGGCTCCTCCGTGCTGCAATGTCCATTCCCGCCAACTATGGGTCTCAGTCCACTCCTCCAGGGCTCGTCGCTAGTGGGGGAGGAGGAGAGGGAAGGAGACTCTCTGAATACCTCCACGATGAATTCATTGCTGGAGTAACGGCCATTCATTTCTGAGCAGGACAGCCGGAATTTCCTAGCATAGAGGGCAGCTCCGTGTCGCAGCCGATAATGAGCCTGCCTCAGGATCTCTTCGTACACAGTGATGCTCTCCACCCCTGGGGGACGAGGAAGCAGCTCAGGGCGGGGAGCCGGCCAAAAGGGCCCGGCAGGCCCCTCTCTCTCAGACTCCCACCAGCTGAGAGCAGACGCAGCCACAGAATGGGTCGGTCCCGCGCCTCAGCAGGGGAATGACCTGAGTTCTCCCAAGAGATGTACCCCTCCGCCCCCAGCCCGGCTCTGACTGATTGGGAGAGAGTGACTGGGGTCCATTTCCTGCTCTGCTCTTCTCTGAAAACTCTGCGGCTTCTGGGTAGAGATGGAGAGAAGGCATTAAGGACCCCCTGCAAGACAGAAGGGCGGAGGCCAGCAGAGGGGAAACGGAGAGAGGGGAAAATACAGAAGTCCTCGGTGAGGTTCTGGAAGGGGATGGAAACAGGAGGGGGCCAGTTATGACCAGCTTCTCCCATCCCCACCTATGGAGGTTTCCTTCAGAGAATAGCAGGTTTCCTCTGAAAGCTACCAAGTCATGGCCATGATTCACTACGACGTGAGCACGCGAGTTAAAGATCTGGTGTGGGGGCGCCTGGGTGGCTCAGTCGGTTAAGCGTCCGACTTCGGCTCAGGTCATGATCTCGCGGTCCGTGAGTTCAAGCCCCGCGTCAGGCTCTGTGCTGACAGCTCAGAGCCTGGAGCCTGTTTCAGATTCTGTGTCTCCCTCTCTCTCTCTGACCCTCCTCCGTTCATGCTCTGTCTCTGTCTCAAAAATAAATAAACATTAAAAAAAATTTTATAAAGATCTGGTGTGTACATGAGATCAGAGAGATGGAAGGTGTAGGGAAGATGGCTAGGACCAAACAGCTAGAGGATCGAAGGCTCGTCAGAGAAGGCTGAGCCACAGGAGGAGGGAGCAGCAGAAGGGCGCCAGGCTATAGAGAGAAGCGGGGAGAAAGAACCACTTGGGAGCCTGAACCCCAGCACACCTCCTCTAGGGGCAATCTGGAAGCCTGAGGAGCTTCCAGTCTGGGAAGGTACAAGATGGCACTTGCCTCTATCCCTGGGGACCCGGGAGGAGGACCCTCTCGAATTCCTAGATACCTGATACTGGGAAGGGGCGCACACAGAAAAAGAGGACAGGCACTCAGTCCCCACTGACCGGCAATGGTGAGGTAGGCAGACGTGTTGGTGAGTTCCAGCCCTCGCTGCTGCAAGGACGCCATGTCTAGGAGCAGGCTTTCCCGCTCGGGGTCCAGATCATCCCCGACCAGAGAAATCTCACAGCCATCCAGGTTGTGCACGATCTCATCTGACATGCGTGTGTCTGTCACTGGATGGGAGAGAGTCGGGATCGGGATCAGAGCCACAGGGCCATGCTTCCTCCCTTTCCAGGCTCATTCCCCGAGAGCAGTCGGCAGCATCTTCAAGAACGTCATTACCCAGTACTTTCCTCACACCCACAGGCCTCCTCCCGGCTCTACGCCCCATGTAAGTGGTTCCTGACAAGCGAATGTGGGATGAAGTCACTCCAGTTGTGGACAAGAGCCCCTTCTCGGGATGATATCACTCCCTGGAGTCATCCTTACCTGTGCCCTGCCAATTCTCATCCTTTTTGGCCTCCACCTGGTGGGAAATGGAGCAAGTGATTTGAAGATCGGGGAACAAGGGGATCCCCTCAGGTCCCTCAAAGTCCACAGCCGGGCGAGCAAAATGAGCAGTGCCACTCAGCAGGATCTGGGGGGCATCAGGCTGAAGGACCACCACGTACCCCTCCACTTCGGGGATGGAGACACAGGATTCTTCGCTGAAACACCTGCAGAGCAGAGGGCAGAGAGGCAGCTTGTGACCCCAACACCTCCTGTCTAATGATCCCTATTCTGTTTCATCCCTCCGGGCATCCATCTCTACAACAGAGCACACCACATCAGGGAGGGGACGGGAGGAAAGAGGGATAGTGTCCCTGTCGCAGCACAACTACCCCACCGGGGCAAAGCTGGAGAGGAGATACCCTTTCCTGGGAAGATGCCACTGTGGGAAAGGGTCAGAGACAAATCAGGCAACCCAGACCTGCAGGGGTGATCACATCACCAATGCCCTCACCTAAGATTATGGAACACCTATCAAATTTCATTTCACAAACTGAACTTGCCAAAATGTTTACACATACACAGTTCCTTACTCAGGAGATTTGAATTAAGAAGTGTGTTCAGTAAAACACACGGCAGACACATGCCCAAAAAATATTCAACAACAAAAGTGGAGGGGAAGGATGTGGTGGGGGAGCCTATCCAAGGATGTCCTCCTCCTTGGTGTTTCTTCCCTTCAAGATCAGAGGAACCCCTTTGGTCGGTGAGCTAATGTGACAATCTCGGACCTGCATCCATGGTCCCATGAAGCCTCGTGGACCTTGGCACCAGGACAGACTCCCTCAAGCACTCAGCCAGGCCAACCAATGCACAGCACAGCTGCTCAGGAAGGCGCTCCCAGGGTCACCTCCTGCCCCATCCTTTGCCAATCGATCAGAATGACACCTCACTTTCTCATCACACCTGCTGGTTTCTGAAGCGTTTACACATACTCTTTCATGCAACCTTATTTCAACCTGTGGAAAAGGGGTAAGAAACCAAAGATGATCAAGCATCTTGGCCACACAAGAAATAGGCAACAGGGGCGCCTGGGTGGCTCAGTGGGTTAAGCATCCGACTTCGGCTCAGGTCATGATCTTGCGGTTCATGAGCTCGAGCCCGCATTGGGCTCGGTGCTGACAGCTCAGAGCCCGGACCCTGCTTCTGATTCTGTGTCTCCCTCTCTCTCTCTACCCCTCCCCCACTCAGACACTGTCTCTCTCTCTCTCTCAAAAAGAAACAAACACTAAAAAAAATTTTTTTAGAAAAAGAAATAGGCATCAGAGTCAAGGCTTAAACCCACAGTTCTTATGCCAAGATCCCACTCTTTCCGCTGAATCACAGCCACTATTTGGCGCCTGGGTTTGCACCAGTCTGATTTATTTATAAAGAAGCACCCCCTGGGGCATCTGGGTGGCTCAGTTGGTTAAGCGGCTGACTTCGGCTCAGGTCATGATCTCGCAGTCCGTGAGTTCGAGCCCCGCGTCGGGCTCTGTGCTGACAGCTCGGAGCCTGGAGCCTGTTTCCGATTCTGTGTCTCCTTCTTTCTGACCCTCCCCCATTCATGCTCTGTCTCAAAAATAAATAAACGTTAAAAAAAAGAATTAAAAAAAAAAAAAGAAGCACCCCTTGAACAAGCAGCCTTCACAAGGAAGTTAGTAGCACAGGAGCAGGGCCTGTGGTCCATATGCTTGTGCTAACTGAAATGCCCAGCTTGACTGCAGGAGCCAAAACGGGAAGGGGTAACCTCAGCAGATACGATGAACTCAAAGCCCCTGAAGCTGCCAATGTCCACAGCTTGCAGAGTTCCTGTGCCACAAGGGGTGGGGCCCAAGAATCTGCACGGTCATTCTGAGGGGCCCAGATCAAAGCCTCCTGGAAAACCACCTAAGCTGACCTGGAGAGCCCAGACTCCAACAGACATCCCCACTGCAATGAGCAATCCAAAGGGGACCCAAAGGGGAACAGGGCGCCGGACCTGACCCGAAGGCACTGATGATCTCGTCTAGAGCTTAGTTATATATGGCACACAACCTTAAAATAAGGGCAAATATGGTCACCATTGTGTAAGTGGAACAAACAAAAAATCACAAGGGTTTAGAGAGGCAAAGGTTATTTCTGGCTAGGATGGGAATGGGGCATTTGGCCAGGGAGGATAGGAATAATCAAGGGAAGTAGCAACTGAGATAGCCTTTGAAGGAGGGTAGGACTTCGCTAGGCAGAAGGTAGACCATAGAATGGGTGGTGAGGAGTGTACCGAGGGGAACGAAGGAACATGAGGCAGAAATCTGGGGTCAGATGGTTGAAGGCTTTGAGTGCAAATTTTGAGCACTGGCCAAGGGGAGGTCATTAAATTCTTCTATATCAGGAAATAATGAGGATGAAAATTCTGATTTATGACCACTAACCTAGCCTCTGGTGAAGTTAGAATACTAGAGATAGGTCAACTCGTTAGGAGATTATGGCAATAGGCTGGGCGAGAGGTAATCAGAGACGGGGCTGGAGTAATAACAGCAGAAATGGAAAAAGAGGAGACAGATTCCCAGCACCCAGCACAGGCAGGATCAGGGTGACCTGGCAACGGACGGAGCGTGGAGGATAGACAGGGAGAAATCCAAGATGACTCAGAGGTTTCAAGCCTGGATAACCGCAAGGGCAGAGACACCATTACAGAAATGGAGAATTCAGGGGGAAGGGCACGTTTCGATATTGGAGGCCATTATTCCGTCTTGAGCTCGTTTCTGTGAGGTGCTGGCAGAACTTTCTAGATAGAGGTTATAGCAAGCAGAAATTTAAGGGCTATGGGAAAAAGACAAAGCTAGAGAAAAAAGATGTGGTAACCATTTGTTCAGGGGCTAATGCCACAAAGGAGGCGGGCTTTCCAAGAAAGAGGTAGGGGGACAAAATACCTTAGGGAAAGTCTGCGTTGACCAAATAGATAAATCTGGCTTTCAACGGACAGAGCTTCAAGAACTGAACCCTGGAACTTGGGGAAGCCACGTGGACTAGGGCAAGGATGTGTATCAGAGAAGAGGAGGTCTCTCTCTCTTTCACTCATGTGCATAAGCAGGTGCAGGTGCGTGCACGTGCACACAGGCACACACATACACACACACACACACACACACACACACACACACACCTATATTTTCTCCAGTGACCTCAAGGAAGTATTAGGGTAGCACTAACCACATGATAGCTCTACAAACAGAAAAACTGAGAGCTCTCACAAAGAAAACAAGGCCCCCTCCCCCACTAAAGGATCAAAGTCAGGTTCCTAGCTGGTGGATAAGCCTCTCCCCAGGCATGAAAGAGGTAGGAGGAATTCAGCTGAGTCCATCCACAAAGGATGTCACCTCCTCCCACTGTGGGACTCCCCTCCCCTTGCAAAGCTCCACCATAAGCCAAAAGACAGCGCCCTCCCTTGATGTGGCTTCTGAGCGGAGTGAAGGCGAGGAGGCAATTACTCGGTTTCTAGTGGGTTAAACCCTTCATAGCTGCACGACTGCCCTTTTAACAACTTGAGTTCTGGCTAGAACGTGGTGGGCTGCACGCTCAGCTCTGGTCTGTGCCCACATGACCCCAGCTACTTGTGGCCTTCAGCTCCACACTGTGACCACCCCCGTGGGCTAGCAGCCCGATTCCCAAAAGCTGCTGCCTCTGCCTTCCAGAGCTGTAATTGTGAGGCCTGATAATCATGCCCAGTCACTGTGTAGGGCTCAGAGCCCTCTCCTCTCTCTCCTCTCTAAAGCCACCCTTCCCAGGATAGGAACAAGCCAGAGATATTCATCTTCAGATTGCTTATGGAGAAACTGAGGCACAGTAGGGGAGAAAGGCATGCTTGCTCAGGAATCTAGTCTCCTGCATTGTGTAATCCGCCCACCAGATAGCAGTATCTCCTAAAAACTGCCCCGCAAACATTCTAGGGGGTGAAAATAGCCAGCATTGGCAGAATAGGCACCGGGCTAGGTGGTCAATCTGGACTGTATCATTTAGCTCTCAAAACAATCCCAGGAGTTAGATTCTATCGTTATCCCTGTTTTATAGCGTTTGCTCAGTGCAAAAAGCCAGTACATAACAGACTCTGTGTCCATAACTATTATGCTTTCATGACCTCTCAGTTATTCTGCATTTTTAAAAATGTTTTCTTTGCTTTCGAGAGAGTGCAAACAGGAGAGGGGCAGAGAGAGAGGGACAGAGGATCTGAAGCAGGCTCTGTGCTGATAGCAGTGAGCCTGATGTGGAGCTTGAATTCACGAACCACAAGATCATGACCTGAGCCAAAGTCAGACACTCACCCAACTGAGCCACCCAGGTGCCTCTCAGTTATTCTGCATGTTTAGCAACATACTCAAACCTTGAAAATAATGTACAACTTTTCTTTTAAAGAATTAAAATTATTTACATAGCATTCAAAGGTCAGAAAACTTTCAGTGAAGGGCCAGACAATAAATATTTTTGGCTTTTGGGACCATACAGACTCTGTCCCAACCGCTAGCCCTGCCGTCATACTGTGAAATAATATGCAAATGAATGGGAATGGCTGTGTTCTAATAAAACTTTACTTACAAAGGCAAGCAACAGGCCAGATTTGGCCCCAGGGCCACAGGTTACCAATCCCTAGACTCCAATGATCCTATTTGATCTTGCAAGGGCTTGCTGAATCGAGATGAAAACAGGTGAAACAACTAGAGCTATTTGCTCAAGTTCATCCAGGCGAATAAGACAGTGTCAGAAGCAACATCAGATCTCCCAGCTCCCAATCCAGTACCTTCTCTGTACCACTTTACGTATCAGCAAAGAGGCACAGAGAAAATTAAAACCCCAGGGTCCTGGAAGGGTGGTTAGTGGAAAGAGTAATGAGTCCGTTGTTTAAATCCGAGTCTAGTCCAGGCTCTTCTACAAACGTGGCTGTCAACTGAGCAGGTCAGTTGTCTTTGGGGCCCAATCTCCCCATCCATACGGTGACGGAGGTGCGCCTAGCCCTGGGTGACCTCTGAGACCAAGGAGTTCTGACACCGTCTACCTCTGCGCTGTGATTTGCCCGCCCCACCCAACACTCACTTGACAGCAGTGGTGAGGCGCAGGGGCCTGACGCCAGGCGTGGCAAAGCGCAGAGTGTTCATGTAAGCCACATGCTGCAGGGCATGGTTGAAGGTCTCCACATCATCCCCCTCCAGGGTGAGCAGGGACTGCGAGGGGTTCACGTGGACCTGGGCCCCAGACACAGACAGCTGAGAGCAGGACCAGGAGGTGGGAGAGGAAGGGAGCAGAGGGAGAGAGGTGGGCAGAGGTCGGGGGCAGGGGGCATGCCCGGAAGGACAGGGCTAGAGGAAGGGGCGATACCTTCATGCCTTTGCCCAGGCTCTCGAAATCCCTATAGTCCAGCCCCTCCCGACATGCATAGAGGCACTCGATGACCTCGCGGCTCTCCAGGCGGCCTGAGCGCACGCTGAAACCAGCCAGGTAGCCATGGAAGTAGTGGTGGATCGGCAAGGGGTCTCCTAGGGCAGGAACACAGGGATGGAAGGGAGGTAAGAGCAGGTGAGGGGAGAGGCAGCTGGAGCAGGAAATGGGGCAGAAAGAAAGGGCAGAATGCTGGAGAAATGTGGAAATGAAAAGGAAAGAAGAGACCAGGAAGTGAGGCGGGGGGGCGGGGGGGGGG